ATGGGTGGATGGATGGATGGATGGATGGATGGGTGGATGGGTGGATGGGTGGATGGGTGGATGGATGGATGGATGGATGTGTGTCTTACGCGCGCGCACCAGAGTTTATGTAGGACGTGCACCTAGAAGTGGGGTTATGGGGTAACGGTAGGCATTCTTCCATCTCAGTGATGTTGCAAATCGGCTGTAGCAATTGATGCTTACCAGCAGTGGCTGAGAGCTGCTACTCCTGCAAGTCCTCACCATCTCTTAGTAGTATCACACTTTTTCATCATTCCCAGTCTGCAAGGTGAGACGTGGCATCCTGTTACTGTTTTTATTTGCCATTTCCTGACAACTATGGGGTGCATCATGTATAATTGTCAAACCAGTATATGTTTGACTCCAAGACATCATTTCAAGCTCTTTCGTTTCCTTTACAGAACCTAAGGAGCACATTCCAGTTTAGAATTTACCAAGTCCTTCTGTGCAGCTACAATCCAGGGTTGAGAGTTAGACAAGTTATGACAGAAGAAACTGCTTAAAGTGAAGTGGGAAGGTCTTAGGGCATTTGAAATTAAAGTTGGGCATCCTTAGAGCAACTAGAATTATATAAGTAATGTGGGACTGACTGGTTTTCATGAATTCTAGTACATTAGTAATTTTCACCTTTTAAAGCATTTCCAAATGCTGGGAAATGAATTGTGTAAAGTCCTCTGGCACCAGCTGATCCCTGGCGCTTTTTCTGCTGTCTCCTCCCAGGTTTGTCATGCTTTTCACGGATGACCTGGGTTACATTTCCCAGGGCAGCTCCATCATGGCCGGGAGTCTCGCTGGCATGGTTTCCACCATTTTGACATATCCTACAGACCTCATCAAAACCCGACTGATAGTGCAGAACATGCTGGAACCATCTTACAAGGGGATCTTCCATGCATTTTCTACCATTTATCAACAGGAGGGGTTCCGGGCCCTTTATCGAGGAGTTTCCCTTACTGTTTTAGGTAAGATGGAACTTTTCTCCCTGTCCAAGAAAGGCGGTATTCTTTGGTATGTGTGAGTGTATTATATACCTGTGTAACCGGTCAAGGTCATATGGCTTCCATTCATATAAAGCCAACTAGCTTCATCCCACCCCATTGCCATATATCCCACTCCTGACTTTGGCCTGTCATGTCCCAGGGTGACAGAGTGGAGGTGGCTCAGCACACAGTGACAGGAAGATAGCCCCAGCCTCCCATCAGACTGCAGGAGGCGTCTGCGTGTGCATGCCTCCGTGTCTAAGCACAGGCAGAGTGGAAACCATGGTCTTGCCAACCGTTGCCAGAGCTGCAAACACAGTTTACTTATAAACACTTGCCAAATCCAGTAGACTGTCACCTTTACCTGACCTATGTTGCAGCATTGATGCAATTGATCACCCCTCTCCGGAAACTTAGCTCCTAGGACCCACCTCTCTGGCTGCTCTCGTCTCACTCACCAGGCTTATCTGACTCCACCAGCCTCCTACACATTACTATGCCCCAGGGTTCCTCCCTTCGCTTCCTTTGCACCCTCTGCTTATTATTTCCCCCTCCTTTGCTTCCCCTATTCACATGGCCTCATCTAATCTAAGAGCCTGAATAAGCATCATTATACTCTAATGATGCCCAATCTCATCTCTCTGGAAACAGTGACTAATGTGCATTAGTGCTTTGTGCCAGGCCCTGTGCTTAATGCTTTGCATACAAGCCTCATTTTATAGACAGGGGAAAAAGTGCTTAAGGAAGCTATGTGACCTGCTCAAGATCATAGATAGACAGTAGAAGAACCTAGCAACATAACCCCAGAGCCCTCTTCCTTACCCACTGCACCAATTCCCAGTGGCAGTACAAAGACTTGCTATTGAACACCTGCACCTAGATGCTCCCTGGGTGCATAAGACTCCAGACTAAACCTGCTGTCCTTGTTAGCATCACACCTGTGCTCCTGTGTTCCCTAATGAATGAGACCACTCTCCCACACAGTGACCCAAGCCAGAAGAAATGCAGGAATCACTTCACCTCCTCACTCCACTCCTGTTTCCGTCACCAAATGCTGTCCATTTGATCTTTTTGAACTTTGATGTCTGCCTGCCCCCTCCCACCTCTGTACCCACCTCCTCTGCTCTAGGCTGCTCTCATCCTCTCTCCTGCAGACACTCAGGCAAGGCTCCTACTTGGTCCCACTCTTGGGCTTCTCCCTGTGCACTGTCACCAGGGTGAAGTAATCTTCTCAGATGTGAGTTGATCATTTTACTCAACCACTGCCCTCCTTAACAGCCTTCACCAGTTCTTTCTGAGCTGCAGGGAAAAGCCCAAGTTCTTAATGGCATGCCAGTCCCTGCCAGCTTGTCTGACCTGATCTTTTCCTTCTACCTATATGCCTGCTCCAAATTTCAGAAATACTTGCATTTCTAGAATATATCAGTCCCTTTGTCCAGGCTCTTCGCTCTGTGTAGGCTGCCTGTCCACTCAATGGCTCATGAACTCCTACCCATTCCTCAGGACCCAGTTGAACAGTCCTGTCTTCCGTAAAGTCCTTCCTGATTTCCCCAGGTAATATTAATTCTTCTGATTCTTGCATACCTAATGCATATTTTATGGTCCTGGTGGTTACATATATCAGCAGTCTCTGCCACTAGATGGTGAGCATCTGGGGAGACTGACCTGCTCCTTTTCATATTCCTGGCACCAGCTATAATGTCTAGCACATAACATAAGCTCCACAAATGTTTTCCCAATGAAGGGAAGTGAGGGTTGGAGAATTTTTACTGTGGTTATAAAATAAATATTACATTTTCCTAAAAACAAGCAATCCTACTTGTATTACCCCTGTTTTAAATCGCATTAAGAGGATTCTTGAAGTTTCTCGAAGTTCATGAAAGTGCTACCTGTTGTACTGCTAGCTCACCCTCCCTTTCTAGAATGTTTAGGAAAACATACAGTGTAGCTGGAGCCTGAGATGGCCACATTATTCCCAAAGACAAGGTCAAGTAACTCCCTCACCACCAGTCTCATTTTGCAGTTTTCTCAAAATGCTTCCTTCTCACCTGGAAACCAGTCTCTTCTACAAAACATGAGATGCCACCCACTAACTTTTCTTTTTATGAGAATCATTTTCCTCCCCATTTCATCTTTTTAAATGTCAAACACCCAGAAAAGCTTAGAGTTGGAAACCCCCTCCATATGCCCACCTTCTAGATGCCATGATAATGTCTTATCTGCTCCTGTGACCTCCACCTTCCCACCAAGCCAGCATCTATAATTTTTTCATTTCCAGGTTGCAGCCGTTAGCATACTGCACCCTTTAACGCATGTGTCACTAACTGGAATTAAATATACCTTTGTGGTTCTTTTGAAAGTAAATGTATGCACAGTGAAATGCACAAGCCTGTAGTGAGCCATGCGGGCTAATCTTGACAGTTGACACTGTCCCTCTCAAGACAGAACGAGTTATCATCCATCAGGAAAGTCATGTCCTGCTGCATTTGTTGGGGTGACTTTAGCAAGCCCTGAGCCCATCCTGCTTCCCTCTCCCTAGGCTACCCCTTATCTCCAGCTGCATGTCCTGAGACTTCCTGGCCTTGTTTTGCAGGTGCTCTCCCCTTCTCTGCCGGCTCCTTTCTTGTTTACATGAACCTGGAGAATATCTGGAATGGACCCCGAGATCGGTTCTCTGTCCTCCAGAACTTCGCCAACATGTGCCTAGCTGCCACCGTGACCCAGACCCTGTCCTTCCCCTTTGACACGGTGAAGAGAAAGATGCAGGTGAGGGGTTAGGTTGCAGTGGGTGTCGGGGGGAGCCTCAAAGTGTGGGAGGGTCTCAGCAGCAATGAACCCTAGCCTGGGTGATGCCAGGTTTCCAAGGGCTCAGAACTGCTTGTGCAGATACTTGGCAGACCCCAGCTCCGTGGCATTTCTGCGGCAACATCAGGGCTGTTTGCCCCCTTCTCACTCTCAGCTTCCTTAGGTTTTTGATGACGCCTCCAGACGAGGCCCCCTCCTTCTCGGCTCTCTTCTCAGTGCCACCAGTGCAACCTCCTAACTCTCCCTCTCCCTGTGGCCTCCACAGCCAGCACACAGCATTCTTTTGCCTTCCTCGCCACTCTTTATCTCAGTGAAACAGAACAGAAAGAACCAAACTAAGCCAGGAGCTGTCCTTCACAAGGGTCCAAAGGGCCCGATAGTACCTGACTCTCTCGCCTAGGGAGTAACTGCACTGGAAATGGGGACATGTCTTAGTGGCACTGACCTTGCTTTTTCCTGGTTGCTACCTGTGAAAGTTTACATGTTCTCTACAGACCATGATGGCAAAAGCCTGTGTCAGAGGTCCCATAGCCCAGAATTAGCCAGATTTGATTAAAAACATACAAGCAAAAATTGGGCCAAGTGAGAATGGGGGGGTTCCAGAAGGGTCTGTACAGAGGGGCACTCAGAGTCCTAGCAGGCTGAGGCTTGGCCCCCCTCCCCTGCCCGGCCACGCTGGCTAGCCTCCCTTATACCTCCAACTCCATAGGAGGTCTGCATCCCTGGCTCTTCAGGGCAAATGTTGATTGGTTTTTAAAAAGATTTATTTATTTATACATACAGAAATGGGGTACAAACCAGAGATGCCAGGGCGGTGAGAGGATTCACCAGAGACAGAGTAGGGAGCAGAACAGGCAGATGGACAAAGTGCACTGTTGAGGGGAGCAGCGGGGCGAGACAGAAGAGGTCTGCCACACCATGTGGGTCACCTTCTGGGTTGGGGATCGAACTCACAGAAGCTGCCACAGTTTGGCTTAGCTTCGCAGTGCAGCACTCCAAACCGCTGCACCACCAGGTAGGGCCCAAATCTTGATTGATTTTTAAAGAACTGCTTGTGATCCCTTGAATCCAGTTGCAAATCATCAGGCCCAGCTGACTTTGTCTTTCCCAGAGCCTCTCATTTGTCCCGCTGCTGTCTCAGTGGCCGTGATTGGCTCGGTTGGGCTATACTGGGCTGGGCCAGGTCACCTTACCTACCCCAGCACTGAAAAGCCAAAAGTACCTATCTCGCCTATGAGGAGATACATGTGGAGACTACACCCAGCTCTGCCTCTGTCAGTGAGCCCTTTCTCTCTGGGCTGTTCCACCCTGTCCTTTGTCCAGCTGCTACAGTATTCTAACTAATGTAGATGCCAAGTTAGAGTCTACTCAGTGCTTGCTTATTTAGAAGGTGATGCACATACACTTAGAAATGGTTAAAATGCCCATTTTATGTTATATGTATTTACTACAATGAGCAAAATAATGCATGAAAGTTGTAGAAAATTTGGGAAATGCAGAAAAGTCCAAACATGTATGTACAATAATGATTAATAGTTTTTCTTGTGTGTATCTTCTGTGAGTACGCATGTATATATGTGTGTGCATTCAAATATAATATGGTATATAGAAGGTTATTTTCTTTACAAAATTGTATTCTAAATGTGTATAAAAATTAGTATCCCATTTTTTCACTTCTATATTGGATATTGGCCCAGGGCATAAGTATTGAGAACATCTTTTTAATTATCACATAATATTCTGCTCTATGGATGTGCCTTAAATACTATCTTTCAGGCAACAAAGATTCGTTCTCGCAAGTTCTCACAGGCTAAAAGGTGCATATTAAGCTGTTGGCAGGTCATGCTCCTTTCAAAGAAGGTAGGGGGAGGATCCTTCCTCATCTCTTGCAACTTCTGGTAGCCCTAAGTGCTCGTCGGCCTTCGGCAGCATTGCTGCAGTCTCTGTCTGCATTGTGCCATAAGTAACAGTCTCTCCATTTCTGAGTCTTCAGGCTATTTCCGATTCTGCGGCCTAACACTGCCATTAAAAAAGTTTTTTTTTTTTTCCACATCTGTGGTGACACCTATTCCTATATTCCTAGAAATCAACTTACAGGTCACAAGATAAAATAATTCCTAGAAATCAACTTACAGGTCACAAGATAAAATAATTCTAAGGCTCTTAATGAGGTGTTCACCCTAAAAAAGTAGTAAGTTTACACTGGCACCCACAGTCAGTGAAATTGATTCATCTCCCCATTTCTCATCAACAGTAATTACTATCACTTTTGAAATTCTTGTGAACCTAATAGTTGCTAAGTACTATCACATTGTCTTAATTTCATTGATTATAAGCAAATTGCAAGTTTTTCATATATCAGCTGACCCTTTGTATTTCTGTGTTAATTTTCTATTAATGTCCACTAACTGTTTTTTAGGATATTTGGCTTTTTCTGCTGATGGTAAGAAGTGTTTATATGTTAAAGATATTAGCTCTTCATCAATCATTGCACATGTTTTGGCTTCCCATGCTGTTTATGCATTGTTTTGTTGTACATATTTTAAATTTTCATGCAATTGTATCTCTTTTTTTTTCTTTCTAACTTTGCTTTTCTCATAAAAGGCCTTCCTCACCTCACAGTCATCATTTATGTATTCTTTAAATAATTTCTTGCTTTAATTTTCACATTTAACACTTTAATATATATTTAGAATTTATCTGGCCTGTGACATGAAGCATCACCTAACTTTAAAAAACAGTTTACCAATTGTTTAAGCAACACTTTTAAATAATCTTTCCTTCCTCCACTACTTTGTGAGGCAACGTTAGCCATGTCCTAGGTGTCTGCATATTTTCAGGTCTGTCTCAGGCTATACATTCTGTTCTGCTGATTGGTCAGTCTGTTCTTGTGCTAGCACCACACTGTTTCAGTTCCTGTAACTTCATACTACCTTTTCATGTGTGGTGGGACAACTCCATCCTCATTGCCTTTTTTTTTTCTTTCAACATTTTCTTGACTGTTCTCGGTCATTTATTCTTCCTGAGAAACTTTAGAATTACTTTGTGATTAGGATTAGAATTATGTTAAATGTATACATTTGAGATACTCTATAAATGTCTTTCATTCAGAAATATAGTTGTTCTCTCCTTCAAATTCAGTCTTCTTCCTTTAGATTGAATAATATGAACTGACCAATATTCTACCTTTTAAACATATTCAAGTGACAATTTCTTATGAGTCAACCCTTAGGAATGTTGATTTCTTCATATGGTGGCTATGCTCTTTCAACAACAAGATAGCTTCTTTAAAAAAAAAATCCAGAGAGGTTGAGATGTGAGAAGGAGGTATGATCAAAGCTTTTTATTCAGTTTTTAGAATCCTGGTCTTAAGAATTTCTCTTACCGTCAGGAATGAAAACAGGCTCTCTCTGATTGATCAACAGAAGATGGATGAAAAAAAGGCTGTTTATATCATTGGCTTCCATGCTTTGAACTCAGCAGGTCCATTTGTTGAGCTAGAAGATCAAGAGGATCTCTCCAGCACTTTCTGCCATAAATTATAATTTAGTGTTCCTTAGGTATAGTTGAAGTTTTGGTGAACTGCCCCAAAACAGAGATTTGAGCGTGAGTAGGGTATGCAGTGAGAAAGGATTTCAGTTAAGTTCAGTGTCACCTAAATAAGCACAGGGTGAAGGGAGTGGGGGTGATTTTAGGCATCTCCCTAAACTTTTAGTTTTCCTTCTTCAACCTGAGATCCAAAACTGTAACTTATGGGGGATTCTAGGCAATATGACATTCTGCTCTGGAATATATACTTACCACACAGTGTACAATAAATTGGAGTAAGCTGTAGTAAAAGTGAGTGTTTGGGGAAGAAACCCCATCATCTTTTCCCTTATATGGGAAACCTAGATTATCATACTCAGAGCTTCAACAAGAAGCTTTAAAATAAATGCAAAGTCATGGTGGTTGTAAACAAAATGTCAAAAGGTTAATTGTGCCGTTTTCACAAAATATGATCATCATATTGTGGTCAGAGTGTAATTTTACAGGGGTTAATAAGCATAACAACACATTGTGAGTCCACCTCACCTTAAAAAAAAAAAAAACCAACACAGACTGCTTTTAAAGGCAAACGTCATTGTGCTCGCTCTCTCTCTGGCCACTAGATGTCGCTGCAGTAAGCAGCATTCAGGATATGCTAGTCTTGCTGTTCTGATCTGACTCTGCCCTGTTAACCACCTCCTACTTGAAATACATCTTCAGCCTGGAGGACAGGGGTCCTAGAAAGATCAGGATCACCCAAAATTTGGTTGTAGTTGTTTTTTCCTGCAAAACACACAATCCACATTTTCCAGGAGAGATCTGATAAAAGGCTGTTCCCCATGGGAGCAGGCAAGGGTTGCCAGCAGAATTTGTAATGAGAGGCTTTGCAGGGCAGCCAAGCTGTTCTGCCCTGAGCACACTTAATGGTAATATTTGCATGCCATTAGCTTTCCCCCTTGCACTGCCCATCAGGAAGCAAATCAACATCAGGTGTCTGTTAGATAACCATTTGGACAGGGTATTTTTCAACCCCATGCTGACAGGCCACTTTGTCTGAATGTCTCATTCTCTCAACATGCTTTTATACGCATGTGCACGTGTGCACAAACATACACACACAATCTGCCCATTTACTGTCACATCAGGTTGGTACCCTCTTGAACACTAATAACCGTAATCAGAAGGCGTGCTTAACCAGCTGAGCCCTTCCTTCACCGTGCTTACACTCATTTTATTCCTTTTTTCTCTTTCTTGCCCTGGCTCCTGGCTGGCAGGCCAGAGAATGGAGAGGTAAATAAATTATGCATGTGCATGTTTTGATGGAATGGTTTTGGGGGGAAGTGGGGTGGGCAGCACTGTGGACAAAAGGAATGAGCTGTCCCCCACCTGGGTGCTTACACAGACCCCAGCACCATCCTTCCTGAAGTCCCCTT